CGCCGGGCCCCGAGCCCTTCCGAGTGTCCCCGCCCCCTGCGCACCGCCCTATCAGAGGCCGCGGAAGGCCTGGAGTCTCCGCCCCCTCGCGCTGCCCGATCAGGCCCCGCCCCCCCGGGGCCCCGCCCCCGCGCCCCGGACCAGCCGGCTCGCTCCGGCTCGCTCCGGTCCGGGGCCGCCCCCGCCCCGCCCCCGCCGGCCGCGGTGCCTGCGGCTCTGCCCGGCGACCCCCGCACCTCTGCGAACATGGCGCTGCGAGCGGCGTGGAGGGCACGGGCCGCGGCCTGCAGCCTGCGCGCCGCCTGGGCCCCCGCCGTGCCCTGCCCGCCGCTGCCCTTGGGGCTGAGGGCGGGCGCCGCCCGGACGCTGCGCACCGGCCCCGCTCTGCTCTCGGGTAAGCGCGGGCGGGCACGTGGGGCGGGCCGGGCCGTTCGGGGGAGGGGGTGGGCGCCCGCTGCCACCTCGCTCCCTGCCGCGAGCCCCGCTGCTCGCCGCCCCGGTCAGGCGAGGCGACCCCCGCGCACGCGTCTTCTTGCTGCGGCTCCCCTCCCGCGGGGGCGCGGGCGGCCCCCCAGCCTTTGTCCTGCGGGCTGGAGCCGGGCGGGGCCGGGGAGAGGCCTGCGGCGCCGGGCCTCTTGGTCACCTTGGCTTACCTCGCACTTGTGAGCATCGTGGATGGACCCTAAAAGTGGAGACGGATAATAGGCTTCGGTTTGCTGCGTGGACCATCGCTGAGAACTGAAGCAAGAGCGGTTCCTGAAAGGAGAGCGCTCGATCTAGTGTTTTAGTAGCTAGAGCGAGCACACCTTGGGAGACTCGGCTCTTCCCTAAAAGCGGGGGTATGAAACAGAGTCTTCTCTGGACTCTGCACAGAGACCTTCTGCTGGAGTCGAGATGGAGTCCTGGATGTGTGCTGGGGCTGAACTGAGGCCTCACTTAAGGGACTTGAGTAGCTGGGAGACCTGCCCGTAAATGTCTTGGCCACCTGTGCTGCTTTAGCACGGTCATCGCAGCGGGAAAACGGTTTTCTTAGTGCGCAAACACTCGAGACGCTGACTGCGCTTCCAGAAATTCAGGCTTCTTCCTTAGGGAGCGTAGGTCTCTCATGGCTGTCGTCTCATGCAGTTCGTTATTTTAGAAACCTGTTTGGGACTGGAAGAGTTGATAAGTTATTCATTCCAAAGTCTGGAACCTCAAGATGCTTATCCTCCCCCTGGGTAATATAATCTCAGGTCCGTTGGTGCCACTTATCAATACGTTACCAATTTGAATGTAAGGGAGAGAAGCATGTCTCAGATGAGAATTGCATTTCAAGTCTGTGTGTTTTTGTTATTCTGTGTTACACTATCCCTGGTTTTTTGTGTTTTCCAGTTTCCTACTTAAATATTATCCAAAATAGCAATACCCATGATTTGATTGAACACCTAGGGTTTTAATAAGAGGCCTGAGTTCCAGTTTTTGGTCCCACATGTTATGAGCTGTCTGATCTCGGGCAGAGTTGCTTAAGTTCTCTGGAGTCTGTTTCCCTCGTCAGAAAAATGGAAATGAGAATCCTCACCTCACAGTTGTTGGGAGGATGAAATGAAATAATGTAACTCCTGGACATAGAGCCTGACACATAGTAAGTGCTTGATTAATGTTACTTGTTGTTAAATGTTAGTGTATTGACTCAAATAGTCAAAAAAGGACCAATATTAATATATTTTATCTGATCACTTTGAAAGGAGGAAAATGCAAATTTTCATGAATTACTCGAAATGCCTAATTTTCTGAGGCCAAAAACCATGTTTTTCAAGGCTCAGTAAGAGAGTAATTATTTACCTAATCTGTCCACTTTTTTCCTGTCGGGCCAAGGGTTAAAGGAGAATTGTAC